AAGTTAAGTATGCGTAAACGTAGATGTAGTGTAAAATCTATTTTTTTAGAACTTTGTAATGGGTAATTATTAAAATGTTTAAGTATTATATTAGTTATATCTTTCAGACCATAAATTGCAAATCTTGCTACAGATTTTTTTTGAAGTTATTGAACCTATACCTCAAAAAAAAAGCTTGAACTTTATATAATAAATCTATATCTTTTATATTAACTTCAATTATAAATCTAGCTTGAACTTGTCATCCTATAGAATTACTAGAACTTTTTGCAACTCAGATGTTAAAACATCCCTCACCATCTATAAATCCTGTAACAAACCATGGGTTTAATTGATGGTTATTTTTATTTATTAAACTATAATATCTATAATTAGTTATAAATCCCCTCTTAAGCCCATATTGGAGATTGGTAAAGAAATATATACTACGTATTTTGAATAAGAAAGCTAATAAATAAGAAAAAGCCTAAAATTAATATAAAATAATCATAACTTAGATTATAGTACATAGTTGGCATAAGTAAATAAATAACAGTAATAAATAAAAAAGTACTAATTTTTGAATATAATTTAATTTTTGTAAAATTTAACAAAATTACCCTCACAACTTGATATTATCTCATCGCATTGAAACTATATTTAATCCTCTTATATATAGAGAAATATAAAGAATATAGTTGTTCAAACTTTCGTTTGGGGCCAGACTCTATCTTAATTCTACTCTTATGAGAATCTTACTCAATTTAAATAATAGGTTCGTAACACCTGAGTAGACACTACTACCGTATAGTCGTTGCGCTTTTATCCTTCAAAATTCTGTGAACACAGAAAAAATTAGGAACTTAGTTCCGCGAAGATCCATTGCTCTTTCGATTATCTTAAATATTGTTACATCGGATAAAATCCATAGAGAAATGATTAATAACTCGTATTTTCAAAAGTTACCTTTTTACTCACTGTAATTTAAGCTTTAGGAATTGCCCGGAGTTTGATAGTATTAGATCTAAAAAACATTTGATCTTGGTTATCACTAACAGCATGAATTACAGCACCTGCACCAAGGAAAAGAAGAGCTTTGTAGACACTTCATAAGATACAAAAAGGATAATTATTATAGTGCTCTGTTTGTTTTCATTTCCTCGTCCCTGGAGAAGAGTGAAATAAGTTAGAGGATTTGGAAATCGAAAACTAAAGCGGTTAAATTTAAAATTTATAAGGATTATTAGGTAAGTTACGAATTTTTTCCAAATTTAATTGGCATATGAATCCTTCTTTGGCTATTGCTTCAGTATAAAATTTAATAAATATATCTTGATTAATATATCGTATTCCACCCTTTGAGACAGTATTATTTTCTCTATGTCGTCGAACTGTACCACGATTACCAGCTTGTGTATTGTTGCTATAGTATTGAACCATACCGTTTTTTGTATTAACAGCAAAAAAACCGGAAGCTTTTTTAGCTAAATTTGGTAAATATTCGGGATGTCTAGCAAAATAAATATAACCTAGTTCTGTAGGAGAACCGTTTTTGTCTTTCTATATATAAATATCTGCCCACCCTATTATTAAGATAAAAATGTTG